TCAAAGAGGGGTGTTAGGGCCACACCCCCTACCACACCACCAACCACACCCCCCTCTCCCATCGCTACAGTAAACCGGGCTCCACATGAGATTTTAAAAATTTTAAAATCCCATGTGGGGCCCGGTTTACTGTAGCGATGGGAGAGGGGGGTGTGGTTGGTGGTGTGTTAGGGGGTGTGCCCCTAACATTATTTTTATTAAAACAATGATTGGTACGCAAAAGGCCAATGTAAACATTTACTGTTATGTTCTAATCTTATACGGCCTTACACTGACAACTTCCATACATTATTATTATTTTTTTTATAGAAAAACAAGGGATAATCCATGTTCATTAAAAGCCAAAAAGAGTACAAAGCTGTTAGATACAAAAAGAAACGGATACGAACTGTATCCAGATGTTAATAGATAGAAAATAAAATTCTTTCTAATTAGGGACGTATGTATAACATTCTTCTTCCAAAGATCTGTGAAGATGAGGAGTGGGTCTTGCCGTCACTCATCGTTGAGACAAATATAGGGAAGAACCAAAGCCTGCTATAGGTATAATTATCAGAAACTAGATTTTCTACAGACTAACAGTCAAAAGCTTACATGAGAAAATAAAGTGTAGTAACTAAAATAATTACATAACTCAAAAAACTATCATAACCAACTACCAGAAATTTCATCAGATCCTCATTAATCACTTCTCCTGTTAATTGGATGTTCTTCAAGCCTTGTCGATAAACGTTGAGCAGCAGAACCACTTCCAGAGCATGTCCATTCATATGGTCCAGAAATAGCTAAGTTGATAATAGACTTGTAAGAGAAATTAATACGATCAAATAGGAATTTGTTCCTTGTAATCCATATACTCCAGCATACTGATGAAAAAATTGTACGCCATAGATGTCCCTTAATTCCTTTTAAATTATCAACAGATTGTAGAAGATCTTTGAAAGATAAAGGCCATTGAAAGGGTAGGTGATACTCTTTGAAGTGACTCCACACTTGCATTGATAAAGGACAGGAATAGCAAAGATGATCTCTTGACTCTTCTTCTAACCCACAGAAAGAGCATATGAAATCACCTTGCCAATCTTTTAAAAGAAGGTTGTTCTTGGTGTGCAGCCTATTAACGCACAACAACGAAGAAAAGAAATCGAACTTTGCTCGGAATTATAGAGTTCCAAATGACTTTGAATACAGGAGATAGAATTCCCTTGGAGATTAGGAAATTATAAAAAGATTTAACTGAAAAAACTCCGCTTGTCGTAAGAGACCATCTGGGATGAGTTGTTCCCATTCCTCTCAAAACAACAAACAAGAGGGGGGTGTGGGGGTGTGGGGGTGTAAATGTGTAATAGAATTAAAAGTTAGAGAAATAGAAAGCAAAAGAACGGAGAAGAACATGAGAATTGAGCTTACGAAAAATTAGAACTATTACCTCACAACCAGCCAGATCAATGAGTTGTTGCATATATTCCATACATAACATATCTGTGAACAGCGGTGTGGGTCTATCCATTCACGCGGAAAGAAAAGACGTGTGGGGACCATGAACACGTTTTTTCTTTTGCTGGCTCGTGAACGCGTTTTCCAGCTGGCAAAGCAGGTCCGGATTTTTCCCTATAAATAGCAATGATCTCCTAGGGTTTTGTGACAAGGGTGAAAACGCTGAGGGGAAATTCTTTAGGCGGCTGCTGTGGGAAATCAAAGTCGGCAGCGTGTGTGGGAACAGCAGCTGAAAGGAAAAACACACTGTGGGAAAATCGCTAAAGCCAGAGAGGGTTCTTGTTTCTTTTTGGCGGCAGAGCAGAGGAAATTGCAGCAGTTGTTGAGGAGAGAAAAAGAGAGATTCTACAAAAGAGAGGTTTCTTTCTTTTGGGTAAAAATCAGATCTATTTTTCTTTGAGACGGGCTTGTGGATTGTACAAGTCGTCGGTGTTCTTCTCATAGTGGAATCCCCCCCTCATCCCCTCCCGTGGACGTAGGCAAGTTTGCCGAACCACGTAAATCTCGTGTATTTACTGTTTTTCTGGGTTACCCCTCCCGTGGACGTAGGCAAGTTTGCCGAACCACGTAAATCTCGTGTATTTACTGTTTTTCTGGGTTGTTGGCTATTGCTTGTAGGATCCCTCAAAATTCGGTCTTGCGCTGATGAGAGGAAGAGTGGATATCTCACTTCGCTGAGATATTTCGCTACTGAGTCTGGGTTTCCTTCGCGAAACACAGATATCGAGGTTGACTTGTGCTTTTGTGACAACAAAAGCCAGGGCTCTCTCTCAGGACATATCGCTTCCGCGGCGGTGGGCGTGACTCTGCCCCCAACAATATCTAACCCAAATGATTATATCAATTAATCTCAGGTATAAATTAAATAAGTCCCCAATCTAAACACTGCCGAAGAGGAGGATCCCACATTTATACATTTCCTAGAGTTCCTATACAAAGTAAAAATTCTGTTAATAAAGAGCAATGAATCATATAATATCTTCCAATATTAACAGGTGTATCTTCAGCAAAAGAGCAGGTAGAAAGATTGATATAGGTATTTGAGAATCAAAATACATAAAAAAAAATATTCCTATATACATACAAACATTGGTCATTATTATTTCTTCATTCACGACCTTGAATTTACCACCATTAAAGATTGGCCAATTTTCACTTCTTCCCTGAATTTTCGGGGAATAGAAGTTAACTTGTTTAACTTGTAGAACATATAGATATTATTCATTCTCAAGTAGTAGTGAATCTATGGGCTCATTAATAATATAGAAAATATTTAGAACTTTTTATTGCGCTTTCATGCATCTCAAGAGTAATGCCATTCTACCTAAGATTCGATAATTGAAAAAAAGCAACGTATAAGGAATATTTAGAGCTTAGTGATGCTTCTTTCCTGGTTTTATTTTTATTTTTTGACTTGACTATAGATGTTCTGCCCATTCCCTAATTAATGCAATTAAAACTTGCGATTAAGAATATACCACCATATAGGCATGATTCTCCTATTACATTAAAAAAAATTAGAAAGACAACTAGACTTGACTAAATTAATTAAACTGGAAATAGTTTCACTTTCGGTGATTAAAAAGGTGGATGTTGTTTCACTATTAAAAAAAATACAGCAATACCGACAGAAGAGGATTCAAAAGAAGTATAAAGAACATAATGATGTACTTATGGGGGGATCTTTAGCAACTATTTTGTCCAAAACTTAAGATGGCTAAAATTTTGGGAATTAGGACAATTTTGGGTAGACATGTACCTTCTGTTGATCATTCTTTAATAAGAATTGAATAACAGCAAAATCATACCTAAACAAAGAAGAAGAAGAAGAAAAAGATATAACACTAATTAGAGGAATGCCAAGTATAAAAAAAATAATCGATTATACAGGCAATTCTTGAAAAAATAATCGATTATACGGGCAATTCTTACTTTTTCACATTATATTTCCTTTTTTCAGGCTTAAAAGTTCTATGCAACATACTTGTCATGATTCTACCGAAAGAAAAAGACCGCATATATACCTTTCACACTCTAATCATTCTCTTCTCCATTCCTCATCTCCTATAAAAAGCTTGATCCCCTCTCTACAGTTTGTGTAGTCACTTCCCAGTTGGAGAAAATGGTAAGTATCTTTCTTTCTTTGTATGTGCATGTATTCACCAAAATAGCTAGGTTCATGAGAAAATGAGGGCAGGTATGTCCCTTCATGCCTCATTGTTTATTTATTTTTTATTGTTTGTTCGTTTGAGTAAAATATGCCCTTGGCGCACATAGCGGCGTACATGGGAATTGAACCCAAAGGTCCTCCACATAGGAGTGTGACACAGCTTTGTCATGTGACCTATTGGACTGCCCCCGTCTTATCTTATATTGATAGTTATATAGAAGAACTGATCCTAACTATTTCTTCTGCTGAACTTAACCTGTCAGTGTTTCAAAATCTGCATCAACATTTGTTCCAAAGGACAAGTAGACGACGACGAGGACGATATCAGTGACTTTGGAAAAACCAGGCCAACAGCAAATGTTAAAGATGAGGGGCATCATGATCATATTCAAGCCCCTCCAGTTATAAACAAGATTGATATTCACGCAGCCGGGATTGACAAAAAGTCAGAGACAGCAATTGGGAACAACAATTATGCCGGTGGGGATAATCGCTTAGGTGTTGGTGAACCTCAAAGGGAAGAGTAGTGCTCTTAGAACTGCAACTTGCAAGAGATTGTGCTTCTATTAGGAATTTACGCTGCTTATTTTTCCTATATTTTATGGATCACGTGCATTAGTGAAACACTTACCACTGCGTGAGCTCTGTGTACTGGGCACAATCAGCAATCATAACAATAACTTTGATTTCGCATTTTGATTTCACATAAGTTACTCAAGATCAAGAGTTA